ATGATTTGTCGACTTCTTTCTCGCGCCGTCCGCTACCAGGACAAATATTATCCCTTTGAGCCCTAAACGCGTCATTACGGATCCTCCCGGTCCATTAACGGTGTTTTTAAGTACCTCAACCACCGGTCACCGTCTTCACCGAACCCGTCGCTTGCGACAAAGGTCTCGACAAGTAAATTAACCCATAGACACAGCCCTGAGTTTCTCGCCGGATCTTCTCAGTGGGTCGCGTTTCCAATCTGGTGGTAGATTCTCCAAAGCACTGCTCTTGCCAGGGCCAGTGTTACCAACACTCCCAGTTTGAGCCCCGTGGGATCACTTACTCGCCCGGTTACGCTGACATAGCCTCGCAAGGCTATCAGCTTAAGTAGGAAAAAAAATCCCTTTGACTTGGAACTATAGCGGTCGTCCACTGTACAAATTTAATTTTAGTCTACCCTGCACTGGGATGAACTACTCAATACTATTCAGTCAGAAATCAGCTGTACATAACTAGTCAGAAGTAGCTCAGTACAGCTGATTTCGCAGCACTATGACATGCTCTTATTTAACCTGGTTTGTAAACTTTGGTCAGCGGTAAGTAGCCAGTTTATAAATGCCTACCGATAAAGAGGTTAATAGGCCGTTTGTTGGTAAAATTTTAACAAAAGCAAAACAGTTTCTTTGTAAATAAATATATTTAGTATCGGTAGAGAATAATGATGCTTTGTATCTCCTATATTTAACCAGCACAAAGACAACATTACTATTTCAAGGATAAGTCGCTGAACTCATCGATATGTCTTCCGGGTCTTGGAGTGAGTGGCGACATGGGTTGTGGTATTCACGAGCTTCAATTAGCAATTACAACCATACGAATCATGATCTGGGACGTCCGATTGTGCATCAGGAAATACCTTTTCAGGGCACATGGCGCTACATTACGAATAATGGCTTCATTTAACTTCATTACTGATGGTAGGACGTCTTTATTGGTGGTAGAATGTCTTGTTAATCCGCACGGGTAGGTACCACCATCCTGCCTATTTTTGCCGCGAAGTAGTAATGCGTTTCATTTTGAAGGGTGGGGCAGTCGTTTGTGTGTAAAAACTGAGATCTTAGAACTCATATCTTAAAGTGGATGGCGGCATTTACGTTGTAGATGTCCATGGGCTCCGGCAACCACTTAACACCAGGTGAACCGTGAGCTCGTTCAGTCATCTAAGCAATAAAAAAGGTGTTTGATTTCCTCCAGAGCTTATGGATAAGAAGTACAGTTCCACAATGACGCATCTAAATGCCCCAGATCAAAAAGTCTGGGTTAACCACAACACCAGAGTGTCAAGTAGTGAACGATATCTATTGTCTAGCATAATTTAGTGTGAAAGAAAACCTATTTTAAACTAACAAAATTAGTTAAAATTACGATCACGTCAACATTACGGATAGCGCTAAGCAAACCCGCGTACCTTTCTCTTTTCGCCTGACACGGTTCTGTTTTGTCTGACGCAATCCCACGGTATTGCATCTCGTTTGATAAGCGTTGTTCTGTTGTGTAAATTCCAGTGAAATGCGTTTTTTTAGGCAAGAATTCAGTATACAGATCATGATTTTTTAAAAACCTGTGGTAGAACCTCTTGTGAGTCCGCGCGGGTAGGTACCACCATCCTGCCTATTTCTGCCGTGAAGCAGTAATGCGTTTCGGTTTGAAGGGTGGGGCAGCCGTTGTAACTATACTTGAGACCTTAGAACTTATATCTCAAGGTGGGTGGCGCATTTACGTTGTGGATGTCTATGGGCTCCAGTAACCGCTTATTAGCTTCAGAGTTATGTATGTTAGTATGTAATGGAATCTTTGAACATGATTTTGATCCCTTCAAAACGTCGGATTAACTCGAAATTTGGCATACTTATTAAGGACCGATGACAATTCAATATTTGAAAAAAATATATTGAAATAATTTAAATTCAACTAAAAAATTAAAAATAAATAATAGTTTAAAAAAACTACAAAAATACGCTTTTATAAAAAATCCAACTAACAAATAGAAAATAAATTTTTATTATATTATTACAATTTCCACAAAATCATTTTTTCTTACACAATTTTTAATTTAAATTAATGAAAGCGTTTTTTTTTTTTTTTAAACTATTATTTTTTCTTTATAGCATAGATAGGAGAACGAGCTTACTGCCCGCCTGGTGATAACCGGAACCCATAGACATCTACAAAGTCAATGCCGCCACCCACCTCGAGACATGAGTTGTAAGGTCTCAGTTTTAACAGTACAACGGCTGTCCCGCGCTTCAAACCTAAAGGAATTACTGCTTGACGCAAGAAACAGGCAGGCTGGTGATACCTACCCGTGCGGACTCACAAGAGGCCCTACCACCCGAAGATTAAATTGAATGCTCGTGGTAGGGCGTATCATGAGCCCCGCACAAGATACCACCTTCAGAATAAGACGCCCAATGAACTCGTACTGAGTAATACGAATGTACCAGTATTAGTGTACAAAAAAATGGCGGCATAATACGACAAATGTGAAAAGTTCATCACAACTATAATGAGACCTTAGAACTTATATCTCAAGGTGGGTGGCGCATTTACGTCGTAGATGTCTATGGGCGCCAGTAACCACTTAGCACTAGGCGGGCTGTGAGCTCGTCCACCCATCTAAGCGATAAAAAAAAATAGTACACATATCAGGAGCATAACTAATCGTACCTCGTTAGAAAACGTAGTAAAATTTTCGAATTAAACATTAACTTGATATCATTTTATTTAGACTAGAGGTACCGTAGTAGTCGAAATTCGACTAAAATTAATTGGAATTGTAGGATAAGTTTGTACACTATTATGATTGTATTTTATACTTCTATAATCACAAATTTCGCCAAGGCTACACTATAAAAAAATATTAATAAAGACAAACAATATTTAATCTATTCTCAATTTGATCACAGACGTCAACAACAAAAGTTTGACAATAAATAGTATTGCATGCGTGTGTGCGTCAAATACATGGTATGTAGTGTGTGTAATGTTTTCTTTATTGATATAATGACTCTTTTGTGCATTATTTAAAAAAAAAATTAGCTTTGTGCACTTCTTCTCTATATTCTCTATAAGTGTGGAAAATTTCATACTGCTCCGTCCGCGCAATTTTCGTAAAAAGGGATACAAAGTTTTTGCTTCGCGTATTAATATATAGATAAACTACGCTTTAATTCTAACTTGTGTCGCCTGCCGCTTAAACCCTACCAATTTATGTGAACATATTTGCTTTATATCACCAAACTGATGATCACTTTTTTGGTGCAACTTAATAAATAAATAAATAAACTTAACGGCATAATACGGACGATTTATTTATATACGTACGTGGGATAATACTTTTTATAATACCTTTTCAGCACTGTACCAATCAGCTTACGAACTGTGTACCTGTTTCATTAAATGAATGACGTATTTCGTAAATTTAACAAAAATAACTTTTGTTCGACTAGTCTACATTGAATTTGAATATAGTTTTAATTTATAGTCGGATCTGATGTAATTTTAGTGTTTTTATGTTCAACAAAAACTTGAATAAAATTATTATTATTTTCAAACGCGAAACGCGAGTGGGAAACAATGTAATTAATTATATTATTATTTAAGTACCAGCTAAATTTGACGAATCTTATTATGAGTATACACTTGGACCATTTGTATTACGTATTTGTATTTTTTATTAATTCGCAATACATAATGGGCTAATAATAGTTTAAGTTTTTGTTAAGAAATATTTTATTGTATCAAGATTAATGAGATTCATGGGAGTAGAGTTCTACTTGGCGCTGATCAATTAGCTAGCTTCTCTCAAAACATCAGACTGTCTTCTCAAATGCAGAACTTGAACCGTTAACATTAGTGTGAACGACTATCAGACTCATCGAACCAGAGCATACGGTCGCTTTGCCGCAGTGATAGCGACGCTATGATATGAAACCAATAGGGATTATGATATACATACTACGGTTGGAGGATAAAAAAAATAAAAACCCTCTTATCGTGGCCGCCCTTTTTTATATTGTTTAGATGGGTGGAGGAGCTCACAGCCCACCTAGTGTTATGTGGTTACCGGAGCCCATAGACATCTACAACGTAAATGCGCCACCCACCTTGAGATATAAATTCTTAGGTCTCAGGTATAGTTACAACGGCAGCCCCACCCTTCAAACCGAAACGCATTACTGCTTCACGGTAGAAATAGGCAGGGTGATGGTACCTACCCGTACGGACTCCCAAGAGGTCCTACCACCAATAATTTACACATACAATCCTGGAAACGAGGCAACCCAAAGCCGCCGTCGTCTGAAACACGTATTGTCCAATACCCTGAATCTACGTTCGGTGCTTATAAACCCCTCAAGCACTGGTCACCGTCTTTGTCGAACTTGTCTATACGAACGAGCTAATCCATAGACACAATGAGTCTCTCGCCGGATCTCCTCAGCGGGTCGCGATTCCGATCCGGTGGTAGATTCTGCGAAGCTCTGCTCTTGTTATAGCCAGTGTTAGCACTTCACCTACGTAGACATTACGTAACTGGAATAGCGCCTCAGGCTACCAGCTAATAAGTAGGGCAAGAATAAAATATACTAGTCCATAATTGTATTTATCATGTACCTACTAGTCGATTTTCGAGTAAAGAGAGATGCTGGGACATCGTAAGACACATCTTCCTCCTCCAACACTAAATAACAATCACCAAATTGTCAAAACTGAAACGACTAAGAAGTAGAATTCTTGCAAAAGCACTTGCTTTAGACACGGAAAAAGCTTTATCACACTATTATTAAAAAAATGTTATTTTTTGTACGCTATTACAAAGTTAAGTCGTACACTGTGTACATTACTAATAAAAATCTTACGTTACGGACGTTTTTTCTCGGTTAGGGTACCCCTCCGCATCGTCCCATAAGGAACTTCGTTCCAAAAAGCGCTTAAATATAATTTGATCTTTCTTTTACAGACAAAACCCTGCCCATTGTCGGACCTCCAGCATTAGTAACTTCAGAAGAAGGTCACGCAGCCCAGTGCACTTGTCCGAACTGCGATGAACTTCTATCCAGATTCTCTGAATGCAGTATTTGTTTAGAACCCTTACAGGTGAGATATTCGCGCAACTAAAATCATTTATAGATTCGATCTTGTGTTTGTACAAATATTTTTACTGAAGTTGTGCATTAATTATATATGTTTATGTACTATGTATTTATAATAAAGAAGAGCTGGCGTATATCTTGAATGAATTGGTACTTTTGGCATTGCCATTATTCCCCAGCGACGGAGACCACTAACAAGCAGTTCGCATATACGCTCATCCACCTTCGAAAGCAATTTTTTTTTAAATCTTAACTGCCAGCATTTCTATAAACATCTGTGCATCAATAAAAATCAGCTCCTAATCTCCTCCAAAGAATCAAAAAAGTTTCAATTAAAATTTCGACTGATTTAAAACACAATTCATGTTCTTATACGGCTTTTTACATAATGTTTGTGTCTCAAAAGTAAGAAGAAGTCTTATGCAGCAGAGCTCAGGTGCTCTTCACTAAGTTGAGGAAATTTTAACTACTGGCAACACCTACGATGATAGTGTGGAACTTATGAACTGTACGTGCCGTTTCGCAATGTCGAATCCGTTTTATTTCTAAATACAAAGTGAAACTAGTGGTTTCGGTCTGCAATTTTGGTTATCTTGTATGTACGTGTGGCACTAATTTCAATCAGAGTTATTGTCGCTATTAAGACAAAACGCTCCTTTGGTTTCACCCGCGTTAAATTTTTAATTCAGAAATATCGAAACATGCTGCATATTCCCAAGAGAGTTGTTGATGTCACTTTCTGGTCCATAAACTACCAGTCGGTTTGTAGAATCCCGTTCTTACGGATCGCTTAAAACCTCTTTCTTCTTCAACCTCCTCAGACTTCTGTTCTTACTGTGTTTTGTACCGTAGGTTCTATGGGAAATGTTCTTAGGAATTGTTCAAAATCTATCCATCTCCTTTTAACCATCGCACCTTCCACCATCGGAGCACAGTTCATTCACAATGCGTTTTTTTTGCATATTTATATTTCGTGTAAAAAAACAAATTTTAATTCCAAATTCGACATTTAAAAGAAGCAACGTTTTCCGAAAATGGTTGGAGTTTGAGCTAATTATAGACACGTGCAGTAACGAAACTTCGTTACACTAAGTACATGAGCCATTAATAGTCTTAGATTCAATATTTGATGTTGATACTAACTTATTGATTTTTGTATAGAATTTGGTGTCAGTTGAGTATTTACTTATACGATATTAAAGCCTTATATTTTGATGATAAATATGTGACTATCGTAAGAGTTCAATATAAAGATCGATAAATATGATTCAGGTAAAATTAAGTAATTATTGACATATTGAGTTTTTTTATTATGCTTAAAGGACCAACTATTTGGTATTATCAAAGCCATAGTTATGCGAATAATGCCACTAACCTTGAGGCATGAGATTCCAAATTGATTGTACAATGGCTTTCCCATCTTTGAAACCAAAACGACGCTTCATGCTTGGAATGACCTCTTGTGGGTCCGCATGGGTAGGTCCCACCACTCCGCCTATATCTATCGTGAAGCAGTAATGCGTTTCGGTTTGAAGGGTGGGGCCGTTGTAACTATACTGAAACCTTAGAACTTATATCTCAAGGTGGGTGGCGTGTTTACGTTGAGCTCCAGTAACCACTTAACACCAGGTGGGCTGTGAGCTCGTCCACTCCTCTGTGAACCAATCTAAGCAATAAAAAAAAAAGCAGGCCAGTGGTAATACTCATACTGGATCATCATACGCCCATACGCCCTAATTCCAGTTAATCATCTCGATGAAGTGAGTTAAGAATGACGATGAAGATAGAATGATGACATTTAGCCTACGTCAGCAATTTCAAGGGCAAAGTCAAATCGGTGCCTACCGCCGAATACTCTCATCAAACTTCGTTTGAAGAAGGACTTGTCTTAGCGCTCAAGAAACACCTTCAAAAACGAGATGAGAGCATCATCTCACACAATTCTTCCCGGCACTTCTCAAGGCCCACCAGCCGAGGCCAAGAGCTCGTAATGACCGTGAGAACGGCAGTCTCGATAATCCAAAAATCCCGCTTCTGTGTATAGTCAAATGATAGTAGGTGGTATTTAGGAACCCCGACATCCATGCGAGTCCGAGGTTCTGTCTAGACGTGAAGTACTGTTTCGCTCTGTTGAGGAAGCTCTCGTTACAAAAAGTCGACCACTAAAATTCCAATGCCTTCGCAAATGTAATTATAGTCCTGAAAAAACAAAGCAAACTTGATTCGCGTCTAATGTTAGATAGGTATAAGATTTAATAACTTTACCCTCTAAACGGCACCGACTAAAAATCAGTGCTCAAAACGTACAACTATAAAAAACCTTTAACATATTTTAAACATTCTTTAGAAGACCTACCAATACCAAACATAGGCGAAGGATATTCCAGGAATTTAATTAAACGCTTCTCCATGTCCATACGTCCGATGCAATACATTCCTAACATACCCCGTTGTTATGGTTACACGACAACAGCTTCAGTGCGGAATTTTGTTTCTTAGCATTTGTGATACCAATTTTTGGTCACCTTCAGAATTGTTGGTCTAGGATCTTATTTCTAAAAAATATCGTCTAACTTGACCGTGCGATTTTCACTAGGTCGTCGGTCCATTTAGTACGGGGTCGTCATACACTGCGCCTATATTTAGGTTTAAAAAGTATAAAACGCACGCTTAAATAGCAAACGGAACCAATATTTAATGTCATCTCTTTATCCTGTTAATACCGGTCACAGAATATCACAGCGATTTACGTTATTTCGAATCGTCCCGATCCACTAACGGTGCTTTTAGGTACCTCAAGCACTGGTCATCGTTCTCATCGAACCCGTCGCTTGCGACGAAGGGCTCGACGAGTAAATTAACCCACAGATACAGCCCACTGAGTTTCTCGCCGGATCTTCTCGGTGGGTCGCGTTTCTGATCCGGTGGTAGATTCTGCGAAGCACGGTTCTTGCTATGGTTCGTGTTAGCAACGTCGTTAAGCTTGAGCCCCGTGAGCTGACCTACTAGTTAAGGTTACGCTGAAATAGCCTTTCAAGGCTATCAGCCTAGGTAGGGAAAAAAACAGCGATTTGTTACCTATTACATAGATTGGTGAACGAGCTCACAGCCCATCTAGTGTTAAATCCTTAGCCCATAGAAGTCTACATCGTACATTCCACCAACCACTTTAAGATAAGAGTTCTAAGGTCTCAGTATAGTTACCATTATAGTAATAGGTAGTATAGTATAGGTAGGTAGTATAGTCAAATAAGACATTATAAAATCATTATAAATTTGTGTACATAATTATGTTATATATGTATTAGCATCTGTCCTTAATGCGTGCGCAAATTTTCAAGACTTTTTTAATCATTGTAACTCATGGATCAGCAATATTTTTGCCGGCAGTAAGGCGTCTTTTAAGCCCGCAAGGGAAGGTACCATCACCCTGCCTATTTCTGCCGTGAAGCAGTAATGCGTTTCTTTTTGAAGGATGGGGCAAACGTTGTACCATTGACACTTAACATACTGTAACATTGAGACTTAGAACTCATGTCAACTTTTAAGCGACCACCTATTTATTATGTTCTCTCTACACAAGCATACATTGAATGTGACTCGTGATAAACAATAACTTTACAGGGACAACCAGTAGCTCTTAAGTAATGACTTAAAATAATTATAAAATCTTATCGATTCGTTGTATTTGCAGTCATTTTGATTTTCCATTAAAACTAGTCTGCGTTCGGTTCGAATTATTAAATCGTTGACATTAAAATTATTTCCTGTACTCAAATGAATGTTATCGTTATTTCAACAATCTCCGAAAGAAGCAATCGTAAAATTGATATTATTATGTTGTTTAATTGACAATTCAAGGTTACGGAATTAATTTTTTTTTTTTTTTTTTATTGCTTAGATGGTTGGACGAGCTCACAGCCCACCTGGTGTTAAGTGGTTACTGGAGCCCATAGACATCTACAACGTAAATGCGCCGCCCACCTTGAGATATAAGTTATAAGGTCTCAGTATAGTTACAAATCCCGTTTTCGTGATCTTTTGAGTATCGCACAACTATCTACGTGCTTAGTGCGAGCTTTTTAACGTTCTCGATAGCGTTAAAGTTAACTCAAATTTGTATGCAGTTGGAACAGCGCCCCTAGCGGCAAACGCAGGCAAACGTGCCAACTCCATTCTTGAGTTAACTTTTACCCTATCGAGAACGTTAAAAAACTCGCACTAAGTAAACAAATACATGACCTCATATTATTATGTTTCCAATCAATTTACAAATATAAATCAACTTAATGTTTTATTACAACTTAAATCACTGTTCGTTCTCATAATAATATACTCGTATTATCCACCTATTATATTATGTATTAGTCATATCGTATTTTTGGTTTATTTATCGTACAAAATAAACTTAGCGTCGTTTTATCTTGTTTCATTCGAATACCATCTGTGATGAAGTATGTGTTACGTTCTATTGTCGTGTAACAAAGTAGCCGTAGGATCGTATGGCTTCGATGGTGAGAATATTTTTTTGTTCCAGTGCTGTGGGCCGTGCGTGTGCCCGTGGTGTGGGGGTGTGTGGTGCGCGCGGTGCTCACGACGCATGTCAAGGTGTGCATGGTGCCGAGGTTCTTTGAGGGCACCGGCAGCGCCCTGTCTAGCACTTCAAAGGCTCGTCAACGATCTGATGTTACCGTGCAGGAATTACAGGTAATTAATGGACACACCAAAATGACCATTCATTATGACTATGGACCAAGCAATCTAAGATAATTTTGCCCCTGTTGGCGGCGAGCATACGGCCCACCTGATGGTAAGTGGTTACCGTCGCCCATGGACTTGAGCATTGCCACAAGCAGAGCCCAACCGCTGCCTACCGTTAAGTACTCTCTACAAGCCTCGTTTGAAGAAGGACATGTCATAGCGCTTGGAAACACCGTGGAAAAGAGCTCATTCCGAAGCCGGATGGTACGTGGCAAAAAGATCTCTGGAAACGATGATGATGATACGCGATGTGTCCCAATTTAATGGGATATTTAAGAATGATTCAATGAAGATTTCGACCTTATATCTCAAGACAAGTGGGTCATTCACGTTTTAATATCTATGGATACCAATAACCACTTAACGCCAGATAGGGCATAATCTTGATAACAAACGAAGAGAATGATAGATAACAATGAACATTGAAAATTATTTTAAAACGGAAATCATACATACAGTAAAGTTTTCAAATTAATTTGGTGATGGAATTTTGATTTAAATTTTTGATAACGAATACGCAACAAAATTGGTACTTTGAATCAGTTACATAGGTAAACAATCTTCTTCTTATCATTAATACTGTAACTTCAGAAGCCCTTTTTTGAAGATAGTGCATCGTGTAAGCCCACTGGTATAAGTTGGAAGCACCATCCTGCCTATTAAATGATGTGAAGTTCTGTTTTTAATTTTAATTGAGGTCTTGAAGTGGACGATCGTTTTTTTATTATTATTGAACTTATTATATGATGAGTTAGAGTTCTAAGCCGCGGGCTCTATTGACCAGTCAAGTGAATAAAATCAAAAAGACATCCCTCGGCCTATTAAAATTAATTTTCTATTAACTTTAGTAAATTCTAAATATATAAATATTTTTTGTACATTTTTATCTACGAATAATATATATCTTTAAAGTACATACTAAGTATAACATATTTGTTTGTACTGTTCTTAAAATCACAGACTCGCGTATGGAAAAATTGGTCAAATTTACTTGTATTTAAATTTATTTATTTTATCTTATCTTGTCATTTTTGTGTTTACTGTGATATTGAAAAAATCAATGCGTAAAGAGTTAGACATTTATAAAAAAAAAAGTGAATAAAAAAGCTTCGATAAGTAAAGTTTAAGCGGTAGGCAGCGGCTTGGCTCTGCCCCTGGCATTGCTGAAGTCCATGGACGAGGGTAACCAATCACCATCAGGTGGGCCGTATGCTCGTCTGCCTGCCAGGGCAATAAAATAAAAGCCCGCCATCATTCACAGAATCTAATTGAAAAATTCGCAAAATATGCAACCCAGCTTAAAACTAAATTACCGAACGACCTCGTTTTTGATAGACCAATAAATCATTCATATTACAATAAAAATGAAACAAACAAAAATTACCATTCTGTTTATGAATTCAAAACTAACTGAATCAACAATTTATATTCTTTTTACGCTAATCCACGTGACTTGGAAATTTTTTCGATTAAAATTACAAAAGGGCCGTTGACCTTTTATTGGGATTAGAAATTTATTTATAAATATATGAAACACGTCTGCTCCGTCTGGATTCTAATATAGAAGTATCCTTTTTTTTATCCTACCTATGCTGATAGCCTTGAGAGGCTATTTCAGCTTCTCCTTGACGTGTTCGTAGGGGAATCCATTTACGGATATCCGGTCGAGGGGGGTAACAGACCGGGTTATGTCGGACTCCGGCGCCTCCTGAGAGGAAGAAGGGGAGAAGAGAAGGGCCGAGGTAGAGAAGGGCTAGCAAAATTGGCCCTAGCAAAAGCAGTGCTTCGCGGAATCTACTACCGAATCGGAAACGCGACCCACTGAGAAGATCCGGCGAGAAACTCTCTTAGGACGATTATTTCTCCATTATTTCTCCCTTCCATTTTATACAATATATTTTATTGAATTTTCATGAAATTGTCATGAGTTCGTGTATAAAAAAGAAAGAAATAGAGGCACAGAAATTCTTGGCATGCGCACTCAATGATGGTTGTCTGCTTAGAGTGCGCACACGAAGGTTTCAGTTTAAAGAGTTGCGGGGCTGCGGTCCCAATGAAATTGAAATTTTGCTGTTGAGTTGCCCGTGGACTTCAATTAACGCTTAAAATCTATGTTCCCGTCAACCGATATCTCTCTTTAATAATAATAATTGACAAGGGATGCTTAGTTTTTAAAAATACCCCCTTTTATGCTTAAAATTTTCAATTACAAAACCAAAGACAAAATTATGTACATAAAATGAACTGAAATCTTAAGATGTCAGTGATTAGCCGTGTCAGAGGTGCCGCGTAATTCAATCTCCCTCGAATAGTGAACATAATTTTTTTTTTTTTTTTTTCCACAAAGATTGCGGCAGGCAGTGGTCTAGATATGCCTCTGGTTTTGTCAGCATCTGTGAGCAACGACCTCTCTAGCAATACATATTTACTATTTCGGTCATATTTAGTACATACGGATCTTGGACCCCACGGCTACGGCTTTTCCGCGAAATGTTTTAGTTCAGGCACGGAATCTATACATTAATTCGTGAAGCAAAAACTTTGTATCCCTTTTTACGAAAATTGCGCGGACGGAGGAGTATGAAATTTTCCACACTTATAGAGAATATAGAGAAGAAGTGCACAATGCAATTTTTTTTTTAATTATGCGTAAAATATACATTAAATCAATAAAGAAAACATTACACACACTACGTACCATGTATTTGACACACACACGCATGCATACTATTTATTGTCAAACTTTTGTTTTTGATGTCTGTGGTCAAATTGAGAATAGATTAAATATTGTTTGTCTTTATTAATATTTTTTTATAGTGTAGTCTTGGCGAGATTTGTAACTATAGAAGTATGATAGTCTTTGAAAATCATAATAATGTACAAACTTATAATTTCAATTAATTATAGTCGAATTTCGACTACCGGGTGAACTAGTATTACTTATTATCTTGCCTTGTAAGAGACGAGTAAACATTTTTGAAACACAAGGCTATAAAAATATGCGTATGTATGTATGTTAACAAGATGGCTCTTTGAATAAATTTTAATTGTGCATTATCTATATTTGGCTCATTTGGTCGACAAGGTTGCCGATCACTGGCGTAGACACTTAATTGTCTACGTTATATTAAAAGAATAAAACATTTCAACAAAAATTCTGGTCATTATTTATGTAAATTATTATATAACATAATAAAACGAATCAACGCGACTAAATAACAATTATATTGTCTACAAAATTATAATAATAACCGGACTTGATTGTAATATTTTAAAACCAGAATGAGCCCGCTACTTTAAAGCCTTCGTCAAACAGAACGCGTAATTAGCGCGCGTCAGAGCGCTAAACTAACGCCGCGCTATGACGCCGAGATGTGTTGTACTACTATGGTAACATACTGTCAGACAGAGCCCCAGCGCTATAAGTACGCAACGCTCTGTCGCGGCGCTAGTGGCTGTTACCATAGTAGTACAACACATCTCGGCATCATAGCGCGGCGTCAGTTTAGCGCTCTGACGCGCGCTATGTTTGACGAAGGCTTATTAGGCAATTAATCTAATGGGTACTGTTGTCAAACTATGTAATTTTATGATATTGACGAAATATCATTGTGAACAGGTAGGTTGTTGGGACTTCAAAAACACCACTAACGAATTCATTCATCTCAATTAATTTCAATATTTCCAATATAAACCGCAAAATTAATAACTTGTCCAAAAAAAAAAAATCAATGGAATTTCACAAATAAATGTTTTGCTTTCAAGAAGGTCGTGGACTAGACAATGTTTTGTTTATCTTACGTTTGTTAGGTTCTAACGAAGACTCTAATTTTTTATTTTTGAAGTGAAACTTCCTTATCGGCGTTGGAAAAAAATTTACCGTCACGTTTTTCGGTTACGCGTCACATTTTTCCGTTACGCGCCATCTGTTTTGTATTCATGTCTATGATAATAAAATCCTTTTGTTTAAACTTTATCTAATTTAACTTTTTTGTATTCATGTCTATGATAATAAAATCCTTTTGTTTAAACTTTATCTAATTTAACTTTATTTAACCAATTTCTAGAAAGTTGCATGTAGATCATTTTTCGAAAAATAAGGCCATAAATAAGTTTCACTTCTTACGTGTGTACACTAGTACACGCACACATTTTTTATTGTTTTGATGGTTGGACGAGCTCACAGCCCACCTGGTGTTAAGTGGTTACTGGAGCCCATAAATATCTGCGACGTAAATGCGCCACCCACCTCAAACCGAAAAGTATTACTGCTTCACGGCAGAAATAGGCAGGGTGGTGGTACCTACCCGCGCGGACTCAAAAGAGGTCCTACCACCAGTAAAGATGCGAAGCACTGCTCTTGCTAAGGCCAGTGTTAACAACACTCTGGTTTGAGCCCCGTGAGCTCACCTACACGTTAGGGCGAAGTTATCAGCATAGGTAAGGAAAAAAAAATACTCTATGACAACTTCGACTCTGTTTGTTCAATACAAAAAAGGTTTTATTGTTCCTTTTTGTTGACACAATTGCTTACTTAAGCTTTCATGAATTGGTTCCGTGTGAACCGCTCGTAAATTAAGATATGTCCTAACGTTTTTTATGTTGCACAAGGGTTTTAGAGGGATTAAATGACTCTTGTTTTTTTTTCCAAAGGCTTTTTGCGGTTTTTCTTTTAGCTTATTCGAAGCTTTGTCGAATCTCAAATGGATAGGTTAGGTTTGGCTAAAGTCGCGTGTCCCTTATAATTTTGAGGAGATACCGGATTATCGTTTTTTCTCCCTACCTAATTGCTGATAGCCTAAGGTAGGCCTTTCTAGCTACCTGCGAACAAGTAGTTGAGCTCACGGGCTCAACCTGACAGAATTGGCTAACATTAGCCCTAGTGAGAACAGTACTTTGCAGTATCTAGCACCGGATCGGAATCGCTACCCACTGAGAAGATCCGGCGAGAAACTCAGTGGGTTTTGTCTATGAGCTAGCTCGCTTGTCGCATAGACGGAGTTATACGAGGATGTTGATCGGTGCTTGAAGAGCCCTATAAGCACCGTAAGTGGATCCGGGGAATCCAACAAAACATGTTTCTGGCAATAGCGGCTTTGCGTTGCCCCGTCCCCTGGGTCAGATATAACAATACCGTATTTATAAATTTCTGTAAAAAAATTCGGAATGAACTCAATCAATCACATGACCCATACCTTAAGTAAGTTAATTACATACAGAATAGGAATATCTATGTATTAATACGTGAAGCAAAAACTGTGTACACCTTTTTACAAAAATTGCGCGGACGGAGGAGTATGAAATTTTCCACACTTATACAGAATATAGAGAAGAAGTGCAGAATGCTAATATTTTTTTAAATTATGGATTAAAATACATTAAATCAATAAAGAAAACATTACACATACTACCATGTATTTGACACACATGTACTCTTTATTTATTGTTAAACTTTTGTTATATTATTGCTTAAAGTCTGTAGTCAAATTGAGAATAGATTAAATATTGTTTGTCTTTATTAATATTTACCTAAAGTGTAGTCTTGGAGAAATATGTGAAGAAATAGTCTTTGATAGGGTGATTATGATGTACAAACTTATAATTTCAATTAATTATATTCGAATTTCGACTACCGGGGTACCACTAGTTTTGAATAATATAGTGTCACTGCTTGTGACAACATTCGACTAATTTTGACAGCATTGTTATGTACTTACTTAGTATCGCATTTTATTTATTTCTATGTATTTTTTTTTCGTGCACGTCTATTGCCCCGGAATCGCGTTTTATAGCAGACGATCCAATAGGAAAAATGGAATCGAATTTTAAGAACGGTTTACTTACACACAGAGGAATAAATAACTTACAAAAATATTATGTAATATTTTCCTCTATTTTTATTAAACTTGAATATTTTTTTTTGGTTATGTTCGAGAAACAATCGATTTTTGGTGTACACGGGTAGGCAACACCATTCACCCGAATGCTATTACCGTAGGAATGGTTGCGATAGTGCAACTGGGTAGTCGCAATCGCGGTTAAACACTAAAAAATATATATCGAAAATGATATATGATGATATATTCAATTGAAATACTGGCACCTGGCCGAGACAATATTATGTTAAAATCTCAATTACATACAAAACTGACCGACAAGTTCACAGTCTATTTGGAATAAGAGCCTATGGACAGCAATGCAGCGGCCCACCTTAAGGTTGTCCTTGAAGCTAAAAAAAGACATGATTGCTTCGTGTCAGAATAGACTAATCATAAAAACAAAACGGTTTTATGTAAAACATTTATATTTTTATCGATAAACAATTAAAAAGACTAATTAGCGATTTACATACATATAAAATGAAATTTATTATACGTTTTGTTGCACATTGATTGGCGAAGTTAGTTATCGTGAATAAATTGTTTTTTTGTTGTTGTTATTCGATGTGGAGTTGTTTCTATTTTTAATTTGAATATTTTGATCGTGATCATTATTATTACACACGAATTTGTTAATTTTATTATTGTTTTAAAATGAATAGCTAAACTTGAGACGTTCTTCATCCTTATACCTCTGTGTGTCTGTATTAACAATGCAATGCCGGAACTCTAGCAACCATCTAACATTCTAAAAACACCATGATCTTATTAAAATCACACTGCGTAAGAAATGTTGAACCATATTCCATAATATCCTATCTACGCCAAATGCTGTTTTTATTACCTTGAATGAATATACGGGCTCACGGATAGGCCGATATTAAATGGTAACCACTAACTATTATTATCACACCATCGCCTAATTCAAGACTGTCAAATTAAAAAAAAAACAATCGACCCATTATTCTTATATATACATACCTAACCGAAAACCTTTGGCTGTTTCGTGAAAGAAATAAGTACATTGTGATTATTGTAGTTAATCTGTGGTAACTTTATAATCTTGATTCATGTTAGCTTTGGCGCCCTTTTTCCCTACCTATTCACTGGTAGCCTAAGAGGCTATTTCAGCTTCACCCGGACGGGTAGGTGAGCTCACGGGCTCAACCTGAGAGAATTTGCTAACACTAGCCCACGGCCAGAGCAGTTCTTCGCTGAATCTACCACCGGATCGGAATGGCGACTCACTGAGAAGATCCGGCGAGAAACTAGGCGGGCTAAGTGCCCTCTACTAGGCCCATAATATAGGATTACTGGTAGTAGGACCTCTTGTGAGTCCGCACGGGTAGGTACCACCACCCCGCCTATTTCTGCCGTGAAGCAGTATTGCGTTTCGGTTCGAAGGGTGGGGTAGCCGTTGTAACTATACTGAGACCTTAGAACTTATATCTCAAGGTGGGTGGCGCATTTACATTGTAGATGTCTGTGGGCTCCAGTAACTACTTAACACCAGGTGGGCTGTGAGCTCGTCCACCCATCTAAGCAATAAAAAAAAATTAAAAAAAATGATACTTATCATGGCTCCTATTTCTTTTTTTCTGTTAATATACTATCTAATATTACTACTGGTCTCATTTTATTGAAATCTCACCACGTCAACAGCGATACCTAATAGTGCAGGAATTTATTTTAAATCTTATTTCCAAAAAAACGAAACTACGGCGCATTAAAGAGAATAGTTAAAATAAACAATTTAGCTATCTGAGCGAACGTGTCAAATTATAACTAATAGTGGATGAATAAACTAGTGGAATGAGCACGTGTGTAAATATTAATATTTCACAATTCTAAATATTAACAATGACATTGAGATTTTCTTGTTATTATAAAACATCAAGACCTTTAAAAGTTATGACAAATTATGGTATTTTTCTTTGCAACTCATTTGCAGCCATTCGTTTTATTGCTTACCTACCTTTTATTGCTTTGTAATTGTTTTTTTCTTATAAACCTCATAATAAAATAGAGAATTTTGCTGAGATGCCAATGGACTATTAAATAATTCAGGAATTTGTGGCATTTTTGCACCATAACATTTGAAAAACGATTAACAAATAACTAATTTTACATAACAGTTTCAACTGTATTCTATATCATCATTCATAGGTAACGAGCTCCGTGGAGAATCATGTATTGAACTTTAAGAGGTCGCGCCGAAATTAATTATTGCTCTGACAAAATATACTAAATTTACTAAACAAACAGTGGATTTTACGTAACACATATTTTTATGTTTTTTTAACAAGATTGGACAAGACGGATTCTGTCGATTAATTAGAGCCAACAACGATGTGCTAAAAGCTTTACCCTTTAATCATTTTTAGTAAAAAGATTTAATGATGATTTATTTTATTTGGCATTCATAAATAATTGCAGCGTGATATTCATGTACTTAGTGATATCATCAAATACTAAGGGTATGGCCTTTTGTGTGTTGGTTTAAAGCAAATATGTCTTTGAAACTATGTCAATACTAATATAATCGATGATAGTTCGACTCATTATGGATTAGAATCACGGATAATTCTGCCGTGAAGTAGAATATGCGAAATTTGAAAAAAGAGATCAATTAATTGAGGCCAACTGAGATTTCGACCTTGTGTTTTAAGATATCTGGGGTATTTACTTTTTAATGTCATTCGGCTTCCGCAGACAATTAAACCAATTAAACCCAATTAAACATCAAACTATGACTACATAACGTCCTAAAAACAGAACAGGTGTAAAGACTTTTTTTTTATTGCCCTTGTAGGCAGAGGAGCACACGGCCCACCTGACGGTGAGTGGTTACCGTCGCCCATTGACTGCAGCAATGCCAGGGGCAGAGCCAAGCCGCTGCCTACCAAATTCCATTCCATTTGATCCTAAAAGTGTTTTGAAGCCTTTACGTAAAATTAACATTGGGGTCTTCCTTTGTCCACAGACGCGGTTGCACAGAACTACTGACAGCAATCACAAGAGTCAAACACGAAGAAGAATGCAAGTTTGATACGATGATGTGTCCCATCACCGCGAACTGTTGCTCGGTTCCATTCGAAGAACTCTCCAGTCACCTCCAGTCCACGCACAACATCATCGCGGTTTACTCACAGAAGATAAAAATATTAATAGAAAACTTCCAAACGAAACTGAAGAAGACAGCCTGCTGTCGAACGAAATATAAGATAATACTGCTGCATCAGAAAAGCGCTTTCGTAATCAAAGTATGCATTTACAATTATCACGTCAAAGTGGAAGTTATGAGGAGGAAGCTAGGTTATATTGCCGATGTTAAATCGGAGACGAAAAAAAGCGAATACTGCGCTTTAGTAGAATTCCAAAGTAAAGCGTTAAGTACTAAATCGGCTATTTTAATAGAAAACGAGGCTTACGGGAAAAAAGCTGAAGTGCAATGGAGCGATGTGATCATGAAAGCTGAAAACGATGAAGCTATCACGATACACGTAAACATCGGAAAATCAGATACAGATATGCTAAGGAAAGATTGTCGTGAATCGACGTAGCGAATTATTTGTAGATTTAGAATATAAGCCAATAATTTAGGTGAAAAATTTTTCAGATATACCAACGATGACTCAAAAATGTCGGAGCATACGAGTAATGTTTAACTTTAACTCTGATCCTATTAAATCAAACATCCACAGTATTGAATTCAATCCTTGATATAGCCGTATTTATCCAATAAAAACTTATCCAATAAACTTTGCTAACTCCATATTAACCACCTCTTTGTAATATTTGAGTTCACATTAAAATGTAAATTCAATAAATTTCCTTTGTTATATAACATTAGTACAGTCTACAGAAAATTGGTTATGCATTGTAATTGTTTTAATCTAAACTTTGTGTTCTTAGAAAACGGTCTCATTAGACTAATGATGGTCTCATTCCGTGTAGTTTTTTTAAAATGGTTACACATTTTACAATGAATATAATATAGCCCATTTAGAAATATTTGGCATTGGCCTACTATGACTGATGTACATTAAATTAGTATTAAATATATTTAAGATGTTTTAACTAGTAACAAAGTAAGACAAATAAATGTTATTTTGATAAGATTTCCTTTGAAGTTTTATTGACATCTCACAGCTAAGTTTCAGCATTCTGTCTATTTCTCCCATAAAAAAATTATGTGTTCTGACTTGAAGCATGCGACATGTATTCCAAAAAAAATCAGACGGCAAACTAAATTTAAAAACTCATAAGGCGAGTTTTGACATTTAATTCATAAATCTATAAGGCCGTGGCGACAACTGAACATAAGGTCAGCAATAAAAAATTAAAAGAAGACGATAAATAATTCCGACAAAAAAAATTGAAATTATCTAATAAATAACATATTATGTAAATTTGACCTTCACATTGCCATGAATTTACCTCGCATAAAAATGAACTCGGAATATCGAAAGAGCGACACTGTGAAAATAGTAGAAACTAGCTATAAAAAAATAAACATTTTTATGTTCACGTCTGTGATAAAAGCGAAATGAGATTCCCCTTTGACACAGGAACCGTTATTATTTTTTTACACGAGTGAACTTAAACTCAATTTCGTCACGTTGAAATCTCGTAGTTGAAATTCGTATTTCATTTTACAAAATATGAAATACGAAAGAAAAAGAAAAAGAAAAGATAAAATATAACATTTAAATAGAACAAAATAATTTTTTATAAGAATTGATATGATAAGATAAACACGACGTAACTTCACGACATAGCCAATTATCCAATTTTACACTCACATAAAACATGTGCAGACGAACCGGATAGCTGTATAGTTATGTTACCTGTAATATTCTATATCCAAAAACACTGTTCAAAGAAAAATCACACCCAAAGCTCAGACTCTAGAGAGAAATTTTATTCAATGATTGCTTTACATATATATGAAACACTAGCGACCCGCCCTCGCTTCGCTTCGGAAACATTGAATTTGATTATTGATAGCTGAGTCCCGCGATGTTACCCGCGGTTATTGTCGTACCGCGAGTGACGCCGCGGCGCGAAGTTAGTCTAAAAAAATTGCCTAAGTTACTCCTTATATCATCAGCTTAAAATCGGTCCAACCGTTCCAGAGATTATCCGGAACAAACAGAGAGACAATCAGACAGACAAAAATTAAAAAAATTATTTTGGTATATGTACTGCGGTATACATACTTACGCATTACCTAATAAGTTGTTTTATTATTACAAGCAGACACTCCAATTTTATTTATTCGTATAGATGTTAAATAAAGTCCTGGGTACTGTTAGACACCCAATCTAGGTTAAGTGTTTGCAACTTGCTTACGAATGTCAGCCCTCTTCCCGATGGACGTCTTAAGGATAATCAGCATCAGCAACGTCTGCATTACGTCAAAGAGCTACTGTTTGTAAAAGCTCAGTGGCGTGATATTTCTGTACTCGGTGATCAAATACTAAGGTGGACAATATTTTTACAATACAATATTTGGGGACTAATTTCATACAATCTCCATACAAAATTGCGCTGTGAATCTTATATATTTTCTTCAATTCTTAAATATTTTACTGGTGGTAGGACCTCTTGTGAGTCCGCACGGGTAGGTACTACCACCCTGCCTATTTCTGCCATGAAGCAGTAATGCTTTTCGGTTTGAAGGGTGGGGCAGCCGTTGTAACTATACTGAGACCTTAGAACTCTTATCTCAAGGTGGATGGCGACATTTACGTTGTAGATATCTATGGGCTCCGGTAACCATTTGACACCAAGTGGGCCGTGAGCTTGGCCACCCATCTAAGCAATAAAAATAAAACAAAACTTTTATAGCCATGATTATGATCAGGGCGCTTCCATCATAATCCTTAATTATTCAATTCCTCGTCTCATTTCTCAAGATTTATAAGAATCAAACTTATAAAGTCAGTCGAAGCAGTAAAACATTCCAAGCGGTAGGACCCGAAATCGGTAATGTTAATAATCCCTTAGGAACGTAGATTTCTTCAACGTAAAATGTTAACGAGGTTCCTCGGAGATTAAATTCTTTAATCATTGAAGCAAAACGGTAGTTGATTGAATTCTGAATTAAACTGGTGCCCAAGCGAAATGCGACAGAAAGATAAATATCTTGTTGAGATCGATCAGATATTAAATATTGGCATCATTCGTTGTCTTTTGAATCTATAGCTTTTTTTTAAAAAAAAACGCCTATTTCAACGGTATCTGTATCACCTAATATCTAAACGGCCGAACTGATTTTGATGGATTATTATGTGTCTTTGAGTGGGTCTCCAGTGGATTATTTAGAGTTATAATTAGTATCGTAATCGTATTCTAGTAGGTATTTTTTTTGGTTTTCGTATAAAAGTCGTCGTGGCCTAAAGGATAAAACTTCCGGTGCATTCGAGTCGAGCGATGCACCGGTGTTCGGTACCAATTTTTCTAATGAAATACGTACCCAACAAATGTTTACGATCGACTTCCACGGTGAAGGAATAATATCGTGTAATAAAAATCAAACCCGCAAAATTATAATTTGCGTAATTACTGGTGGTAGGACCTCTTGTGAGTCCGCACGGGTAGGTACCACCACCCTGCCTATTTCTGCAGTGAAGCAGTAATGCGTTTTGGTTTTAAGGGTGGGGCAGCCGTTGTAACTAATCTTGAGACCTTAGTACTTATATCTCAAGGTTGATAGCGCATTTACTGTGTAAATGTCTATGGGCTCCAGTAACCACTTAACACCAGGTGGGCTGTGAGCTCATCCACCCAACTAAGCAATAAAAAAACCGACTCAATTCCACATGAGACAACTTGAATTCCTTGAATGTGGAACGTTTATTGAACTGAAAACTGATTTAGCACCGCTGCGATTTGAAATTCAACTAAAACGGAAAATTGGCGCTAAAAATGATGGCCTATTGATGAAATAAATGTATTCGAATTCCCCATCGTGAAAATGATATCATTAGAATACTTCTAAATGTATCAATTCTTCTACCGCATGTGAACAGCGTGTATGTTTTTTTTTACAATGAAGATATTTACATATTTCGTTCGGATATTATTTAATATTTGGCTGACTCCAATAACTATTTTTATATGTCTAAACAAGTCAATTTGAATTTGAATTTATTTGAATTCCAAAAACTACTTTTTTTTTCTAGGGATCAATCTTAATGTTAATTTTAGTTTGAATTTTTTATTGTTTTAAATGAGTAGGCGTGGTAGTGGACAGACTTGTGCTAAGAGAATATTTAAAGTTGAAATCTTAATGTCAGCCATGACGAAACTTACTTGTGCGGGCGTACAGCTAAAAATTTAGTCACTTTGCGTTCCCTACACAATATTATTTCTTCATCGTGGAAGTCATTCTTGAAGAAGTATTCTTTTAGGGAAAATAATTCATAAGGTGTAAGGTTCAAGTAACGAACATCGACCCAAATTTATTCGTTTTTATACAAACCTTGTTTTCTATTGTACCTGATGGTTGAACGAGCTAACGGCTAATCTGGTGTTCAGTGACCGGCATATATATACATCACAACATACATACTGCTCATCTTGAGCCATGACATGGAAGACTAATTTGTATTGTACAGCGGCTGTACTAACTTTGAACCTACAATGCTACTGGATAAAAATTTGCAATGGTTTTGTCCATGCTATATGATCCCCCTTACAGTAATGCATATCCACGGAAATGGAATAATATGTATTGTAGACGCGAGATAAGCAAACTACGAAAATGTTTGAAATTTGGTCGTTGCAAATGAAGGACACAGACTGCGGGAAGAAACGATAAGAAGCGGCAGTTCTGCGTTAAAGGAAGGATGCACAATACCTTTATGTAGTCCTTACTGCAGACTCGTACCACTTCGCGATGAGAAACACCAACGATTTCACTTATTTACGTATTTAACATACCAAAGACACGAAGTGCGCGCGCGGTTGTTCAGCCATATTTTTTTCGTCTCGATGTCACCACACGATCTCGCTCGCACGCGTCCGTAGGTAAAAGTGCCGGAGAGGGATGGGACAGGATTTGCAAAACCAAATTAAAATGTTGCTAATTTTCGAAACTTAAAACTAACAGTTTTAAACCAGCGCAACCATGTATATATGAGTTATTTTGGCTTCCGGATCAGAATCCTTCCCGTCGGTATTTCCCCTGCCTAATCGTTGGTAACGTATGTGGCTATTTTAACTGCGCGCTGACTCGTAGGTGAGCTCAAGGGGTCTCAACTTTATAGGAATTGCCAATACTAGCTCTAGCAAGATCGGTGCTTCACTGGATCTGCCACCGGATCGGAATGGAAACCCATTAAGAAAATCCGGCGATAAGCTTAGTGGGTTGGGTCTATGGGTTAGGTTGCACGTCCAACTTGTCGACGAGAAGGCTTATAAGCACCAGGAGTGGTTCGGACGGATCCGATGTCACATGCTTAGGATGCGGCGGCTGTGACTTTCGCCCTCGACTGGGTTGAAAATATAATTCGAAGCGACCACGTTAAGAGAATTATTATACCGCCGCGTCGCTTTCTCGAAGAATCAACCAGTGAATAAATATGCTTCATTATCAATTAGTGAAGTAGTAACCTACTATATGTATTTGTATTCAATTTGTAAACTACTATGTATATTCATTGAGTCTTATATCGCACGATGGTAATTAGTTACTGTCGCATATTGAAGTGGTAATGCTTGGGCATAGTCAAGAAGTTGCCTTCATTCTCTATTAAATTACGTTACAACTAACCCTTTACTGACTTTTATTCGTAGTTAGGAAGACGAATAATCAAGATATCTGGTCTTTGTAGAAAAACACATACAAAAAACCAACTGGTACACTTCTTTTTTTGTTTGTTGTTTAGATGGGTGGACGAGTTCATTGCCCACCTTGCTTTAAGTGGTTACCGGAGCCAATAGACATCTACAACTTAAATGCCGCCACTCAGCACCAGCAGGCAGGGTGGTGGTACCTACCCGTGCGGACTCACAAGAGGTCCTACCACCAGTAGTTTTCATATGTCTAATACAGGTTAATCAGTCGCCGTATAGGCTCCTAAAGTGAGCGAACTATAGAAGCCCACAGACCGGCAACCGTTTT